CTCTCTCTAGTCGAATTTTTACTTAAAACTTTCGTAACTGCAGGACATTCCTCAGTTCGTAAAGTCACGCAGAGAGGTTAAAAAAATAAATTTACGCACAAACTACGACGTTACGATCGCTCATCAGGTGGAGAAAAAAAGAGATGACGACAACTTGCACTGTAATCGAAAAGTTGAAGTTTTTTGCGTAAAAGGTTTTGTTTTGAACCTCTATAAGTGACTTTACCGATAGACCCAAATAATGTTCTCTCTCTGTAGCCGCATGGACCCTGGAGCTCCGCGTTCGTGTCCTGCGCCATTCGTGGGTGTGGGGATCCTAGGATGGAGAATGCACGTCGTGGATTTGGAATTGTCATCGTCGTGGTTGTTGTTGTTTGTTTGTTGTTACCTTGTTCCACCGGTATGAGCGGTGGTAGAGCGACCAGCAGCAGCATCAGCCGGGCAGAAGCCATCGCGATCCGGGCTCGGTCCCCCATTGCCTCTCACTCTCCTCTCCCTCTACTCACTCACTGAACTCCCATCACCCCTACAGGGGACACACAGAGGGGGAGGTGGCGGAGGGCGGAGCTAGAGGGAAAGAGGGCGGGGCGAGTGATTGACAGGGCGGGGCTGGTGATGAAAGGGGTTGGAGCCAGCGGCTGAGAGGGGTGGGGCAAGGAGAGTGGTGATGCTTGTTGTAATTACTGGCGAAACGTCACGGCTACTTCAATTGTAAATGTTGTGGGTTGACTCCCCAACACACAACCGTTGTGCTGAACTAGTAACGAACATGGCATGTTCGGTTTCCGTGACAAACCTCACTAATCGGCTGTGTCAGGTGGGGGCGGGTTGAATGGCACGTTTATATTTACGCAATATAACCCACAAAAACCTCTGTTATGAATTCTTGGAAATGTTGTATGTACAGATCACACACGGTGCTTAATAGGAACAAACATGCTGCTCTGTTAAATCCGAAACACTCCCCTACAGTACAGTAGTTGCAATATCTGTACACACAGTGAGTGGTGCAGTTTGATTGATGTTGATTGGATGTGGCTCTGCTGTCCACTTGGTGGGTGGAGTCTTTCGCGCAGGAAAGTGTTATTCTCACTGAGCACCCACATTGATTGGATAATTGTGAGTATTCTTTCTCAATTTTCTTAACTTGAACATAATCTATACCTTTGTAGTGACGCTGACACACACATTGGTACGTTACTCAGAGCCATCACTGCGGACACAGCACTATTTTATCTTAATGAGATTTCAATAGCGCCTTTATCAAGGTGCTTTAGAGCGATTATGAAGATTGTACATAGCGTAACAATAATTTGAAATAAATAATTGGGTTATTGTCCATGGTGTAGTTTTGATGCAGCAAAGCAAAATCGATTGCTAAAGAAGGGTTTGGGATAGGCCTGGTCGTAGTTGGGGGTGCAACAGAAATCTTGGAGGGGCTGAGAGGTGATCAGTTAAATTTGCATTGGGAAGACAAAGGGGGGGGGGGCTGAGAGGGGCCTGTAGCCAGGAAGGAGAATGGCGTCCACGGCGATGGAGTCTCCAGCACCGCCCACGACGTCTGTAACGTCCATGCGGCGTCCTAGCCCGGGGCTTGGTTCTTGATGCTTCAACTTTGTCTTCTCTACAAACCGTCCCCCTCCCCCCCCCCTTGTGCTGTCCCCTTTCATATTTCCCGAGACGCCCTCCCCCCCTCCTCTCCCTCTGGAAGCTTCGCTCGCACCGCTCTCTTTGACCAATCAACGTCCTCCTCCAACCAACAGTCGTCAACCGGCGCCCCCTACAGACGACCCTCGCTTCCCGCCTTCTATGTTTGAATCTCTCCTCCAATCGCTTTGAATCTCCACCGATCCTGATCCATCGTCGTTCTCCTCCAAACGACGGTCGTCAAACGTCGACTCCTCATGTCACTCATGATAGTAAGGTTTGTCATGTAAACACAACATTGTGGATTTCAAAAATCACCAAATTTGTGGGTTTGGTCTCCAACACACCAGTGTTCTGTACTAGTAATGAATTGGCACGTTCTGTTTCCATAACAAACCTTACTAATTGGCTGTGTCGGATGGTGGCGGGTTTTATGCTTTCTAATCCCAAAAAAACCCTGCATTATGGATGATATTGCTTCGCGAAAGCCTACTACCAGGTGTTAAACATTCATGTCACTGCTGGATGAGGGCCTCCCCATGCCGTGCGGAGGTTGTGGAGGTGTTTTGGCCATACTTCACCACTCTGGGGGGGAGCAGGGATGTGGCAGCATTAGCGCGGCGCAACAATACACGCACCTTCCTCGACTTGCGAACATGATTCGTCCCTGAGATGCTTTGGTACGTCGATTAGTTCGTCAGCTTGTACGTGAGTGAGGGTGTTCGTAAGTCTGTGGATGATGCTGCGCTGCCCTCTGCTGCCAACAACGTGGCCCTGAATAGTTTTTTTTTTAAATCCTTTATATTAAGTTCGCGTGCTTGCTTGCTTGCGTGTTTGCTTGCTTGCTTAGGACCGTGCAAATCTTTCGGTCGTTTTTTAACCCACTTCCCGTAATCCAATCGAGCTGACATTTTCCACACAGACTCGTTGTGCCAGACAATTATTGTTCGTGAAAAAAAATTCCCAAAATTTTACACTTTTTAGGCAAAAAAAAATTATTTTACATATATTCAAATAGAATGCATTCATGGCTTTGGCTGAACGTCAGAGTGTAAGAGCCCAGAGCGTAACCCCTTCACAGGCCGTGGCGGAGTAGTGCAGTTGGTAGCGCCCTCGCTTCCCATGCCAAAGGTCGCGGGATCGATCCCCGCGTCCTCCACAGGCGAATGTATTTTTAAATCCTTTATATTAAGTTCGCCGCCACGCATATAAAGGATTTATAGTGAAAAACTTTGTTTTTACGGGTTTACTTGTTTTATAATTCTCTGAATTGTAGAAATACCATAGAAGTTACGTTATCCGGCATCCATGGGGAATGGAGGGTGTCAGGTAATGAAATGTGCCAGTTATCTGAGAGTTATATTTACGGCTCACCACGGTAATTTTGAAGAAAGAACTAAGCCTACATTTTAACTATGATGCGGGAAATTACACACTATTTTAACACAGGTACGGGAGGCCTTCGACTTGCTAACGGGTTCCATTCATGAGACCCGTTCGTACGTCGAACTGCTAGTAAGTCGGAACACAACATGCAATATAAATACACGCACAGACAGGGGTATTAAATGTTTTGTAAGTAAAAAAAAAAGAACATTGTTTTCTAATAATTCAGAAGAAAAAATGTACATTTATTTGTGATGCTGTAATAAATACCGTATAGTAAATGCAACATAATATTAATTAACATGAATAAATAAAATACATGTTTAAAAAATTCTCGATTGTGAATCGACATGGGGTCGCCAGGTTGGTAGTGCAGGGCGCTAACCGTTGCAATACCGCTCCCCACACATACACACACACATACACACATACGTACACACATACGTACACACATACACAGGTGTGCAACAACAACAACCGCCATTCGCCACTAAGTGGCGGTGACATCACCATGACGCTTGTGCCAGGCTATGTGCATCTTGAGGCCACGTGAAGTGTCGAACGCCCGCCAGCAGGAGGTTACGGGGCAGACCCAGGTGCCACGGGTCGACTGACTGAGATGACTGGCTGATGCACCACCTGTGCCCCCTACTGTGCCAACTTGCTGTGCTTTATCCACCCGGTGCTCCGCTCGTTGTTGTGAGCATCGCTCCTCCGCCCTCCGTTGTTGTTGAAGGGCGACTGCCTCCAACTATCCAGTAGCGTCCCTCACGAGCCTCCTCTACAGAGGCCGATCTTGACACCGCTGGTACCAGTCATCGGCAAGTCCACTCAGCTCCACGTCCTCCTGTACCAGATCACTCCATCTCTTCTCTAGCCCGTGCCGCACCCGTTTAGCCCCCTCGATCCGGCCGAACAAAAGCTGTTTAGGCATGCGGTGGCTGGGCATGCGGGCTACATGACCCAGCCAAAGCAGCCTTGCCTGCTGGAGGAGCTCACCGATTGGACTTTGCCCACTTCTTTCAAAGATTTGTGAGCTCCTCACACAATCCAGCTTGGTTAAAGCCAGGGTGGATCGTATGAAGGCCAGCATAACTGTTTCCAACCGGTGAAGATGTTCCTTTCGGGGGGTCCACGTTTCGCAAGCATAGAGAAGGGAGAGTATCCAGTACAGGTGCAGTGAGGTGCCATCGCTTCTTTTTAAATCCTTTATATTAAGTTCGCATGCTTGCTTGCTTGCGTGCTTGCTTGCTTGCGTGCTTGCGTGCTTGCTTGCTTACGACCGTGCAAATCTTTCGGTCGTTTTTTAACCCACTTCCCGTGATCCAATCGAGCTGACATTTTCCACACAGACTCGTTGTGCCAGACAATTAATGTGGAGGACGCGGGGATCGATCCCGCGACCTTTGGCATGGGAAGCGAGGGCGCTACCAACTGCGCTACTCCACTACGGCCTGTGGAGCGGTTACACTATGGGCTCTTACACTCTGACGTTCAGCCAAAGCCATGAATGCGTTCTATTTGAATATATGTAAAATAATTTCTTTTTGCGTAAATAGTGTAAAATTTTGGGAATTTTTTTTCACGAACAATAATTGTCTGGCACAACGAGTCTGTGTGGAAAATGTCAGCTCGATTGGATCACGGGAAGTGGGATAAAAACGACCGAAAGATTTGCACGGTCCTAAGCAAGCAAGCAAGCACGCAAGCAAGCAAGCAAGCACGCGAACTTAATATAAATGATTTAAAAAGCAAGGCAATTGAACTCGAAGAACAATGCAAGGAGAATACAACTCTATTTGGGACCTTTTTTGCAAAACAGAACCCGACTTTCCTCACATTCATTGCCGTATGGTCACTATTTTGATCGTCTCATTTTTTTATTTTCCCTTGGTGTGTTTTGTATTTCGTGTTTGTCTTGTTCACCACTTTAAAATGCTGCTTTCATTAAAGCACAAAATAAGTGAATATTTTGATTCTTATACATTTATTGAATAAAACAGAGAGTTATGACCCCAATAAAACATGTAATTGTGACTTTGAAAACATTATCTTAAACTGATATGTTGTCTATCTAGTCGCGCAGCCACTATATCATGCTCATGCTCCGGAACATACAAACAAGTATTAATTAATCAAAATAACTGTGACCCCTTAAGCATTATAAACATTACACAATAAAGATTAGCTTAACAAAAAAAATGCGACATCCAAACAATCCTTAGTTCATTGGTTGTTGGAATACCAACCATATTATTTAAATCAGATTCTTATTCCCCAAAAATACACAGATAACAAATATCATATGGCAGATAGCAAAGCACTATGCCAACACTCCACTTCGCAAATATGACTTAAAGATGTGCAATATATTCCTGTATTGTATTCAGATAGTATAATTTTCATGTATATATGAAGTTGCATGCGATCAAAAATAACAACTCAAATTCCAGAACGACTCCCAATTGCTCACGCACCTTATTTACAATGACCAAATTGGCAATGGACGTAAGTAACTTAAAGTTGTTAATGTAAAATATGAAGCTTCGTGTAAAATAATTATGTGAAAAGTCAATTATTTGTGATGTCTTTGGAAGCGGTTGGCAGTTGTAGAACTTGATCTTTCTTCTTGTCCATCCTTCTGAAGCATTCGTCAGCAATGATGCCACTTTTATTCGTTGCTTTTATGAATCCATCTATGTCGTATTCTTCATCGCCTTCCATATCCCTTCAAAGTGAGGTCTTCCTGCAGCCTGGATTCCAAACAATGCCCAGATGATGATGGGTTGTTCTACTTATTGATCTCAGCCTATTCGTTGGTATTTATAGGACCTCTGAATTTGTCGTTTTGTTGATCCGGCTTACACTCAGCATTTACATTTTAAAGTTGTTTGCTTTTGTCCATTGATATTTATGATATGCCACACTTAATATACAGTTTTTTCCTTTGTAAAACCATATTCATGCTATGCGAATTGTGGTGTTAAAAATAATGTAGACCTTGCAATAACATACAATGGATCTGGAGGAAAGGAAGATGAGTAGGCAGCGTGGACAATATTTGCTAATACGCTTATCTGGATATCACCTAAAAACATTCTAATGCACAAGTCCTCCCCTCAAGTCATACATCATATTGACTTCGATGCATCAAACGAAGAAATTGTATTGATTGTATGCAAAACTGTTATTATTTCTTAACATTTACCAACCTGTGCTATTATATGTCCACGTATGAAAATGTTGTTATCGTCATTATCATCAGCTACTAAACGTTCAGCTTAATAAAGCAATAGCACTGCCATAAATACACATTTTTATATATATAAAACAGATTATTTGTGATAACGGCACTTTTTCATAGCACAAACAGAGGTCAGTAATAAAGAGTGCATAAGGGTTGAACTACGAATGTGAGTTTTGTTTATTTAACTTGTAATGATGTAGGTGTGCCAGTAATGTATCAACCGATTCCACCTTCATCAGTCTCTTGTGATCTACATGTATGCATTTTATATTTACGTCTTAGGCACGATGTTGATCATTGGCCAACCTCTCTTAACGTCGACTGTGCCCTAGAAAATGTGGTTAATAAGTTCCTCTGGTCTTAGACAGATATTTCACAGCATGCTGCCAACCTTACTGTCAATTGTCTACTTTGTATCATAACATCATTAATCGAATAAACGTTTTAAAATCAATAGGGTCACAATACACATCTCTCCAATATCTGAACCTCAACATGACCATTCAACAAATGTTTTTTCACATCCCATCAGCGACACGACATTTTGGAAGCACATCATTTCAGCAACATTGATATTGTAGGGAGTCATATTGGCTGCCTGTTTGTGTTACTCAGTTTAACACGTATGCTTTCGCGACAAATATCTTCCATAATAGAGGTTTTTTGGGTTAGATCGCGTAAATTTGTGTTACTATTTGCAAAGAAGTTGCTAAACATTTCTTATGTTGCTGATTTTCTTGACTGGTTCTATTTGATTAGTTTCCTAACAGTCTCAAGAGCTTTCTTCTGTTTCTGTTGTTTACATTTGCAGTTCTGACAGTACAATGTTCTTTAATTTAGTAAATTAAATGAGCCTTGTAAACCCAGCTAATTTGTGTGTCCCATGTGGTGCCTTTCCAGTCATTGGAAGCATTTGTTGCCATTATGGATTTACAGTACCCTGAGGTTTGCTGAAATTGTGTTGTATTTACTCAGATATGTATTATTGATAGGGTCTGAACGTTTAATTGGAGAGCAAACGAAAGTAATTGTGCGTAATGGTGATATCATTATTTTAATGGGAAAATGGCATTCAGCAAGACAGAATTGCTGCTGAAAAGGGAAATAAGCAGCAAAGAAGAAGTTACTGGTAAAGATGTTTCAATATTTACTTAAATGTTATATTTGGCAGATATCCATGCTGAGAACAGAATACTTGATAATATTAGAACTTTTCAGCTTTGCATTTGACTTCAAATGGCCATATGCTATCCCATGGAAATATATTATTATGCTCATGCTGAAGCAATTTTGGATGAACATAAAAGTTTGAAAGGAACGATCGTGAGAGGCAAAATACCAGTCTTGGGCATTCATTAGAGGGGATGGGCAGCTGATTAAAGCTCGAGAAGACAGTACACAGAGGAGAATCCTCTGCCTCATGAAATAGGGGTCCGACACCAACATGAGGAAGAAAGCGCAAGGCTGGTGAGTATTTGTGGGAACTTGAAGCACAAACTTACCATTAAAACATGCAATATTGATTTTAGATTTAAATTACAAATGTTAAAGTAGAAACACAATTTAATATTAAGCACGTAGTTAGCTGATGTGTAATTTACCACTTTCATTGACATTTCTATTATTAATTTTGTATTTACATTTGAAGTGCATCACAAACAAAATGCACGTTTAAATAAAACAGGGGTATAGAGGAATAAACACATTGAAAATGATTGTACAGTAGATATTTCTTTATGAATTACTTAAAAGATGCATATATTTATTTTGCGCGAAAATGTTCACGTCTAATGTAGATGATCAGTTTACTATAACATCCACAATGTCTCAAGTTAAATGTATGTACATATGCATGCATGTAACGATCGTTAAATGCCATGCCATTTTAGAGATTATGCTGTTTGATGATGACTTGTGTTCGTTGTTATTATTAATAACATACCAATTTTAAATCTGCATACTTTGAAACAGAGCCACGTATTCATAAGTTCATCTGTGACATAGGATGCTCATTTGTAGTTTTATTAATCAAACTACAGTTTCTCTAAATCCTCAATAACATCATCTTCTTTAATACATTCCCAATCTGATGGGATTTTTCCCAGCGCCGCAAATTTTAGGTTATAGCGCTTTTCTAAGTCTGACTTGAACTTGCAGACAAACCATTTCCAATATGGTTGTGTGGTTAAGTCTGGTGTTATGCTCCAACAAGCATATTCTGGCCCGGCTGTACGATAATCCTTCCATGGTATTTTTCTGTCTGGAGAAAATATGTTGCAGTTACTGGCAACTAAACTAGTGCAGATGTCGATGACAAAGTGATCAGTTTCATGCCAATGTCCTCCACTCACTGCCCTGGGGCGGTGAAGGAAAACACTGTGGTCTCCGTCATGATTGGACATCGTGTTTGTGCAGATGGCTTTACACAACGGGCACTGCACCCAGCACCCACATAGCTGCCGAAATAGTATTTCATAAGGTTTGTTATGAACGTGTTTCAAATCATTTAAGCATGTTGAAGAAAATGTATCTTTTACTCCTTCAACCACGGTTTTTAGTCCTTTTGTTAATTCTTCTTTAAGAAATCCAATATCGGTTATTTCGCTGCAGTCGCCTTGGTCCAAAGTGTGTCTTGGGAGCTTGATGACGTCATCAAGCTGTGTGCAAAATGTATCCAGCCATGAAGATGCATCATACTCGTTGTTTTGTACCATTTCAGTTGCTTTATTAATTGCATGAGTAATTGCAGCTGTGTAATCCTCAAGACTTGACTTTAACATCTCATGGATTATTTCATTATCGTTTCCCTTGCAATACTCTTCTACACGTTCCGTAATGTATTTCTGAAAGTGTTTTTTTGGATGGTGAATATATTCATCAAATGCTTTAAAATCTTTCTTCTTCGCTAAATCTATGAGAATGTAGTTTTCTAATTTTGATCGATTTCCGTTGAATGCCAGGAATGTGGACTTCATCCTGCCTGCAATGTTAACACAAACGTTATCATAAACTGCCTGTTGAATGGATGTTTTCAGTTTGTTACACAAAAAATCCACAAAAATAGTTGTGGACGTTGCGCCTTGGCAGCGGATTTTGAAGCTGTCGAAGTATTTTTCTTTCTTACTGGTGAAGTATACTAATGGATCGTTTTCCCTCTGGAAATTCTCATGCATTTTCTGAAATCGCCCCGTAACCTCTGCCAATATGTGGACAGATAAATCAATTTTGAACTTATCTGTGAGCTTACATTTTTCATTGGATTGTGAAAATTTCTGTATGTCTGAATTCATTACCTCTAAAATTTCATATATGTAGGATGGGTTGAAATTAGTTTTATGTTTCTCTTGGGTGGCAATGCATCTATTGACATTTAATTTTATCTCAATAATTAGTTCTTTAATTGACTTAGTATTCTTATCTTTGAAATGGTGACTCAGATATCCAAGCCATTTCGGGTTCATCATGTGTTCGTTTTGTTTAATGTCAAATTCTGTCCCTGTGTGATAGTTCCATATCACTGTTTCTAGGTGTTGAATTTGATTCGCATGAACTTTGTAAATAAGGTTTTCAATTTCTTGTTTTACATCAAGCGTTGCAGGGCTGGTCATACCGTCTTTTATAACTTTAATCCAATCCTTCCAGATTTCATGAAAAGCCCTGTCCCATACTGCTTCATTAACATTTTTTTCTCTCAATTTTGAAGCCAAATCCTTGCTCTTTCTAATAAGTTGATCTTCGTAACTTGATCTCTGAAGATCGAGATTTCTTTTTTTGTTTTTTAGAGCCATCAGGGCAGAGTAGTTTTTGTAAGCATCAGACAATAGCTCTTCTTTCACTGTTTCAAATCCTTTTTCGAATTTAACTTTCCATTGAACCAAGAATTCTGCATCATCTGCGCTATTGAAATGTTCTTCCATTTTCTTTTTAATATCCTGATAGTTTGACAAAATTCTTCGTTCAATCTGTAATCGTGTCATTGTATCTGTATTGTTATCAATGCTGTTATAGAGTTTGTTTTCCTGCTGAAGAACATGACTCCTGAGTTCCCAAGTCCATTTTCCATACATTTCTTCCAGTTTGGTATAAGCTGCGATCTCTATTGTGTTCTTAAAGCTAGAAAAGAAGTTTTTTGCGAGCAAAGCCGTCCATAGATTCTTAATGCGTGCTTTGAATTCTGATATTTTCAAGACGTTGATTGTTTTTTCTTTTGTCGCATTTCTAAGTAACATTTCTTTAAGGTCTTTAACATTTTGGCAGTAGCTTGGATTTGGCGGAGCCATCGGAGGGTCTCCCTCCCAAAGATGAGCAAAGTAACGGATCTGAAAGTTCACGTCAAACCTGATCACTGCGTCAAATGATGCAACAGCGCACTGCTCCTGCTCTGCAGCTATGCGGGTCATCTCATCGAGTTTCTCCTGAAAGCGTCTCCTTCCCTCCATGTTCTTATGGTGTGCATTCACTTCTCCTACGTTTTGGTGGACAAACACACAGCTCGGTGATAACTTCACCTGCCTCATTTTCAGAAACGCCTGCACAGCAATTTGTAGAATGTCTTGCATTTCAGAAGGGTTCTCTCCAAAAATGTTGATCACGGTCATGTTTCCCAGCCCAATCACAAACGTCGCCAGCTCATTGTCATGACTATGTGTTGTATTTGACAGCTCTACAGAACGCAGTCCTTCTGTGTCGACTATCAACACAAAGTCATATCCCAGCTGTTTACTGAACTCTGCCTCCACCTTCACTAACTGCATGTAGGCCCCTCGGGTGCATCTCCCACTGCCAACAGGAAACTGGAGACCAAACATGGCATTGAGTAGCGTGGACTTCCCACTGCTCTGTATTCCCAGTATTGAGATAACAAACAGCTTCACGTTCCCAATTTCATCAATGATTCTGTCCAAGATTGAGCTAATCCAAATGAGAGGGACATGTACAGCATCACCATCCATGAGTTCAAGAGGAAATCCAGAGATCATCATTTCTGCAGCAATCTTGGGCAAAGTAGCTGGGTGTTTGTTAACTGATGGCATTGTCTGTGAAGCTTCATAGATCTGACCAACTTCCCTAAAAACGTGATCAATTCCAAAGGAAGAGGCATCAAGTTCTTCTGATATTTTATCCAACTCTGATTGCTTTATAGCAATGATACTCGTGTTAAAACCTTGTTTTTTCAACGCTATTATTGCCATCCAGGCCTGATGATAAATGAGATGAAGTTGTGTTAAGCGATCTGCAAACATATAATCTGAGTATATGCGTAACCAATGCAGAAAGTATGTTTTTACTGTGCATGACTTATGGTTCAAAATTTCAATCAATGATCTCATAAATTCGTTAAGAGGAAATGCTTTTTCAAGCTGTGCTTTCCTAATGCGTGTTTTTTCTCCTAAAATATTACTTTTGTATTCCTCAACACTTTGCCCCCCCCCCCTTACCATCATGCGAGTCAATTCTTTGTCTTTCTTGCACCACGACTGCCACAATTTCCCTTGAAGAGGCAAAAATTTATCCTTTATGGAACACAGTGGATTGTCACTTATAAGACTCAGCAAAACTTTCGCCATACCCTTGCCCTCTTCACATTGTTTATCATCTTCATCAACAATGAAGCTATGCTGTCTTGCAATAGCTGAGAAAGCTTCGATGCTAATTTTTCTTTCTGAATTGTCTAAAAACAATTTGATTATTGACGTCAATTCATCGATTAACTCAGCCTCATTTCGATTCTCGACAGCAATTTTCGCGTTTGTTCCAGATACTCCACTGGAAACTCTCCTTTTGTCAGCACAGAGGCAAATTAGCGGCTTTGGGGAACTCAAACATTCGTCTAAGATACGTTTGCCTTCTTCATCGCGATCACCATCTGACAGTAATATAACATTTATAGACGAAATCTCATGTAAAAATTTCACCTGTGTTTTGTGTTCTCTTGCATCTCCGTGGAGATTAGTGAATGCTATGCAGTCATTAAATACATCATCGTCCTTCCCACCTGGAAGATACCAGGCGATCTCTGCAACTCCTTTCATTAGTTGACCATTCCTGCTGCTGCCTCGGCAGTATCTATGAAAGAAAACTCGATGCGTTTGATTGCCGAGTAGAGAGTTCATTATCTGAGATTTTGATGCAGGTGATTCACCAAATCTTACGAAGGACACGAGTGCAGTGTTGGCATCAATGATTGCACAGTTTTTAGATTGCACTTTTTTGGTAGATGCATCACGGTATTTCCAGCTCTTTTTCATCTGTCTGAATGACCATATAGGGAATTCTATTTCTGAACGACAAGGATTTGGAACTAAAAGCGGAAGTGCGAACTGGATGAATGAAAGTTTGGTGTAAATGTACTGCCTTACAAAATTGTCTCCACAATGGAAAATTGTCATTTGTAAGTCCATAGGGTGAATGTGGGTTTCAGTGTTTGTCCTAGGCCCATCGCTGTTATTTATTACGTCATTATCATCAGAAAAGAAGCTATCACTATTAGGGCTTTTATTTGTATTTGTGGACTGAGATAAGTTGTTTAATTTGCCTGGGTTTTGATTTTCACACTGAAAACTAACACATCTTGCTCGATAGTCAATCATCATCAGTTTTTGCAGATAAGAAAGAGCAAGTTCTTGTTCTGTGCATCGATCAGGGTTAGTTTGAATTGGAGACCTGTTGATAACACATACATCACTTGTGTGTAATTCCTTGGGGTAGTATTTTATCAGTGAGAGTCTTTCAAGCAGATTCATGAACTTTTCATCATCATTATTTCTTCGTGGTTGAATAGATGGTTTATTTTGTAATTCTTCTTGCCTTGAATATGTGTCCTCTTTCCATCCCCCCTGGGAAATTATTCCTGTATTTCGTATCGTACATTCTTTATTTGAACTACATGTTTGTTCTTTGAAAGTTCCAGCGATAATGGATTCCAGCATCATATCAAGTTTATTCCAGTCAGTTGGCCCTATTTCACTGCATTTAATCACATGGGAAACTTCAGCACACATTGTTTCTTCGACCTGGGATCTCATGAAATCGAACTGTTTTCGCTTTTCGACAAGAGTCTGTGCATTAGACAAACCTGTCCGTAACACGTATGCCTGAGCTCTGGATTTGTCTTGTTGCATTAGTCTTGAGTACTCTCTGTAAGCTGACTCTAGTGCACGTTGAAGATGATCAATGTTGTCGTAATCCAGGGGATGCTGAAATCGTCTTTCTTTTACACAGTAGCCAACAGCAGAAGCAACTGAAATTACGAGTAGCTCTTGTTCGATGAGTTTTGTTGTTCTCAGTGATTGACAGAATGAATTAAATGCATGTGTGATTTCTTTGTTTCTTTTTTCATGTTTTTTTTAATAAGTTGGTGAAAAGTCAATTTTTAAATTATCTTCTGCTTTTGTTAAGATGTTCACGAGATCTTTAAAGTCAGATAATTGAGTAGGGACTCCTTCAGACTCATTCAGCCACTGCATACTGGAGGCGAATTGTGGATAATTGTCAACGTCACAGCTGTTTGGCTCCATAATAGACCGCATAAGCTTTGTGATTTTCACCGTTTTGGTAGGTGCTGTAACAAGATTTGACAAAAATGATTGGAGGGCTGGGTGAGATAAACAGGTGTTTATCCAAGTTAAATTGCTTTTAGTTTCATCATATAACGTTTGTTTCAAATCAAGTATCTTTTCTAAATTATTTTCCATGTCGGATTCTTGCCAATGTTTAATATCTTGCATCACTGACCTGGCTTTAGCATTAGCAGAGACCAATATATCCTCTAGACAAAAATTTAGATTTTGGTTTGTCAAAAGTGTGTATGCCTCCTTGAGCCTGCTAGCTATCAAGGTATTTTGAAAATCATCCTTGTGGTTAAACTTGACAATGTCCCACACTGGAACCAATGATGTGCCTAGATCAATGACAGACCACGTCTTGGTGTTGGATACAATGTCGGTTTTCCATTGTTGAAGAGAACAAATGCCAGGTGGTCCAACTATTGTACCTACGGAAAATGTCACCTTGTTAAGAAGTGGAGCATTGTATTTTTCAGAAAATTCCGTGGTAAATTCGGATGCCATCATGCTCACACCACCTGCACTGCCACTGATGTTGTAGGCAGAAGTGGAATACCTTTCCACTGCCTCCGATATCATATTTCTGTCTTCCTTTTTCTCATCGGAGCTGATTCCCTCTGCTGATGCTTTCCACTTAAAAATCCCACCAAAGTGGACAGGACCTGTATGGGCATGAGAGCCAAATTTCTCAAAAAAACTTCTTAACCTGTTTCTTAGCACATGCGTTTTAAAAGAATCCTTGGCGGTTTTTAAAGTGTTTTCAACGCTTTGTAATTCCTCCAACGCCTCATCAGAGAGCTTGAGTTGATTAAAGTCAAGACTTCCTGAGGCAAGTGGTAGGTACAGGTATTTGGCGCTATGAATGCAGGTATCCGTGAGATTTTCTTGTTGCTTTTTTTCATTGTGTAATGCCTTGCTATGCCGCGAGTTGATTTCTTCATTCAAGGCCTGTAGGAAACCTTCTTCTGTCGTTATGGTATTGAATCCCATTATTTCCACTGCTGTCTCAAATATGTTTTCCTCTTCAGATGATGAAAACTCTTGTTTATTTATCATCGGCTGATGTACTGGCCCAGCAAGATCAAACGACATTGGGATGTTTAAGAGTTTGCCTCTTTTCTTTAGCCTATCCTTTATTTGACCAGTTCGATACACCCCCTCCAAAGCAAGTCCTTTAGATGCATTTTGTAAAAGACTTAGACGTGAAATAGTCCCACGTAAAGTTGAAATGTCTGCTAAATTTAACTGCTTTAGAGAAGTGTTTGCCATATCATTGGAATGGCTGCCATCCCACAATGGGGGTTCTTTGGCTCCTTTCAATTCCATTTGCTGCTCTGTCTCAGTCTCTACGTTGGCCTCACCACTGTGAATTAATCTTTTCTGATGGATTTGTTCCGGATGCTGCTTTGTTGGTGCATCTTGCTTCTGTTTATTTCCAATTGGCTCACATTGTTGTGATTGTTTTAAAACAACTTCATTGCCCGACATTTCCACTAACTTACACAATGCCTTTTTCTCCCATGAATGCCGGCAATGTGGTTCTATGATTTCAAATTCCTCAGGGCCAAAATATTGCAATGCTTTTACATTGGTGATATCCAAAATATTTCGTAGTTTTGGAATCCAAAAAGTTGTATTAAGACCTAAGTCTCTAAGTACTTTGGCAAGCTCATCCACAGCTTTTATGTCGTGTTCCTCCTCTTCAGACATAGCCTTGAATACACACATAGACACCGTCCTTAATTAGTAATACAACATTTAACAATAATACAAATCAATGTATAATTCAGTTGAATATTGAATGTTGTGTTTAATCATAGCATAACAAATATTTAGACGAATAACCAAAGTTCATCACTTATTTTAATGTCAAACATCTGTGAGAACTATTAAATGAAGAACATGAATATTAAATAAAGTATTTCCTTATACCTACCATGCTTATCTACGCTTTTAATAATACAAATTAAATATAAACAATTGATTAAGCCGTTGCATGTTGAAATTTGGAATATAACAGTACGAAATTCATTCATGCAACGGACCCAATTTATTTAGGAGACTAATGGAAAGTGTTTTAACTTACCGTGCTATAACAAGCAGCACTTAAACCATGGCACCATAGCTAATGGATCAATCCTGCCCAGCTCCTGTGCTCAAGCTCCACACGTGGTTCTCATGCCACTTGGCCCGAAACTCTTTTCCTCAAAAAACTACTTTCCAATTGAGAACGTTTTTGGCTGCATGTCATTTCCCAATGCAAATGTTGATAAAAGTCGGTCTTTATCCAATGCTACACCGGCCCCTAGAGGTGATAGTAAGGGGTGTACTGGGGTGGGGCCAACGTCATGTATAGAAAAAACTGGTGCGGCGCTTGGAGTTGACAGGTGGGGAAATACTATTAGGTCTGGTCTTAGAGATCGTGTGTCTACTGTGCAATTGCAGGATCTGGTAGAGGTTAAAAGTGGTGGTGCTAAGGTGTGGTGGTATCAAGAGCTTTGACCGTGATGACATCTTGATCTGAAAGCCAATGCTCTTTGTGCCAGAGTGAGCTAAGGCCATACACGGACACACTGTGTGCACACACTGTGTGCCCCTGTGCGAGAGTAGGGTGGTCTTAGGCACTTCTCAAAGCTACAATCACACTGGGGTCAATCGATCGCATAGGGAAAATGTGTTGGACATCAGATTACATTATCCCAATGTGATATTGTACATTACATCATCCCTATGTGATATTGTACATTACATTATCCCTAGGTGATAATGTATTATACAGTACATTATTAATTGTAGTGGCTGCTGAAGTGGTGATGGCCATTTTTTTTTTCGGGGGCTTGTATACATTGATTACCATCACATGGCCAACCATGACGGTTATTATGCATGTGCCGTTACTTGTGGTACTGGACTTAAGAGCACGGGCCTTTAGTCCTTGCCTCATACAGGTGGTGAGCTGATGTTTAGGTTGGTTAATGACAGCACCAAAAGTGTAACCAACTTTTCTGTAACTTGCTATCCGCGTGCTGGCATAGAATGGTATGCTCTTCTTTGAATGAAAAAATGTGTACGTCTGCATTTAAGCTCATCAAAACTACAGTATCATATGAACAGTTATATGTTTTGACTGCAATCTCCTTAATTCTGTATTAAGTGTTTTTTTTCGAATGCGTAATCCACTTTGAAGCTGTGAATAGCAATTATTATATGCATAAAATGCTTTACAACGAAAACAAATATCAATTCATGAATATAATGGCCAGCACCAATGATTGGTGGAAAACCCGCCAACGCCGCAGTCGCTGCCCACCACTTACATTAACATTGGCTGCTGACATTTGGGCTATGCCCATTTCAAACCTTTATAAACAATTGTCTTTAGAAGCTAACCCCCTTTTCCTGGTGACGACCGCGTGTGTTGCGATCAAAATGTCGTAGTTTTTTTTTATTCTTTGTAATTGTCTTTGGACTATTCTACATGACGTTACAGAAAGACCCGAAGAATATGATTTCAATTATTTGTTTACTACAATTGCATAATTAAACATGCCATTTACATGACAGAGACATTCCAGTCGTGATGCCAAAAGCAACCTAAATCTTCACAATGCAAGTGCCAGAGTTGACCATCTCATGGACTCACCTTTCGCTTGCTCAGAGCACAAAGGAGGCTGGAACTCTCTTCCTGACCCTCTTTATAGACAGACAAGTGCGAGGGTGCGGTGGAGTTGCATTGTGTCCAGCTTGAAAATATAAACAAACCAAACACGTGATTACTTATTTTCAAAGTCCACTACAAAGCAACCACAGTTTCAGATAACTGTGAACTATGCATGAGTTTACTGACTCACATAGACTTTCATTTAAAGGTTATTACAACAACATACACATTGATACAGCATCTAATTATAAGTTAATCTGAACATCATCCTCCAGAGGATCAGCTCCCTCGTCGAGTCAGTGATCCCTGGAGAACAAGCGGGATGTGTGGACTTCTCATCGGCCTATAACACAGCCTGGATTAAGCACTTAATGTGGAAGCTCACAAGGACCATTCCTTGCCTGAAAATAATCCTGGTGATATGGACGATGGTGATCAATAGTTCACTGCGTGTCTATATGAGCAACAAAGCCAGCTCACCCTGGCTCCTTATTGTATATACAGTCGACCTTTATGCATCGCGACTTTCCCCATCGCGGTTTCAATATATCGCGGTGTCGGCATAAGAAATAAAATGGGAATTATTTTGGGGAGTTTTTGGGTGTTTTGCGAAAACCGCAGACGACATGCGAAGTCCAGCAAATGACACACAAAGAGTTTAGTAACGCACAAATGCATCACATACTATCATTGTATGTGTAGTGGTGGTACGTGCTGGCGGGGAGGATCGTGAGACAGCGCGTGGTGGGTGGCTACATCACGGTCCGCAGGCGGGTGTCCACATCGCGGTCCGCATAGGCCCCGCCCCCTGGAGCGGAGGGCTATGTAAGGCGATGTGCGGCAGCACTCGGGGAGTCGTTAACCAGTGAAGACAGAAGACGGAGGAAGAGATAAGGCCCTGAGACCCCTAGCCCCGCTGCCCTTGTAAGGGCCGGGACTCTGTGAGGCTCAGAGGCGAGGCCTTGGGATTCACGGCCCGACGTCCTTGTAAGGGCCGGGCTGTGTAACCCAGTGGTCGAGACCTGTGCCCTGGCACGGCGGGTCCGATAGCTCTCCGTGGGGAGAGCGTAGCCGGAGAGCCTGAGTGCGTGGCCGAGTTAGGCACGCGTAGCGTAGGCGTTATCTCGGCTGTGCCTGTTACTGTTGCACCAGTGTTAATAAATAAGTGCTGCCCCGTCAACTCGTCTCCCGCCATTATTGAGATATTACATATGTATTGTTTAAAACCATAAATATACACAATTTTTGTTTAAGTAAAATTTTGTGAAAAGTTAGTTTGCGCGTTGGTTTGGAGGATGCCAAGCTTGTTTACGGCAGCCTCTCGCGTGATATCTCACAGCCCCTCCCCCGAACCCCCCGGCTGGAGGTGCTCGCGTCGTTCGCCAAGGGGACCAAAACATTTAACGCGTTTTTTTCCAGATCGCGGGGGGGCTGCACCCCTAACCCCTGCGACGTGAAAGGGTCGACATAGAGCTGAACGATGAATCGATTTCAAATCGAAATCGCAATTTGAAACAATGCGATTAGCAAATCTCAAAGGCCGCAATTTTTGGCGATTTGAAAAGTCCTTTTACTTTCTGATTGAAATTGTTTGATTTTTTTATTATAATAACTTTATTTATTTAACTTAGCAATTGTTCTATGTTTGCTTGTTCTATTTGAATAAAAACATTTTAATAAATAAATGTTAAAAGCAATTCATATATTTTAAGTTCTCATCCTTGCATTAGAGCAGTTAAAAGTAGATGGTATCATGTGGTAATGCTCCATCACATGTTTACAAATTTATTAACACAGTGAACATTGAACTGAAGCTTGACTTAAACAAATTAATCGCAAATCAAATCGCAATCGCAACATGTCAGAAAAATCGCAATTAGATATTTTCCCCAAAACGTTCAGCCCTAGATGGACTGTATGCCTGTTATAATTGTTTTTAATGTTTTGTCTATTTTGAATGTCGCAGTTCCTGACAGACAAATATGCGTTCACTGCATGCCAGAAGTCGGGAAAACCAGATGGCGAAGCCACAACAGCATTAGAATGAGAAGTGGGTAATCATAATAAATTAGACATCGATGGAGGGCCTAGAAGACGCAGTACATTTTGCTTTCCGGGAATTAACCGAACTCGTGTAGCGAAGGAGGAAGTAGTTCATGACAGGCCATAAAGGAATCACTCTTGCATGGGCAGGGAGTGACCCAGGAAATTTCATGAGAGAGAATATACGCAAGGGTGGACCCATGGCAAAACACCATAAACTCGCTGCTCACCCAAGGGCAAATCCAGGGCAGAGAGACAAGTATGCCCCTTGCCTTTTCACTCTGTGAATTAACAAACCCTGGTGCCTGGAAAGTTGAAGCGTTCAAATGCCAACCATGCATATGAACATTCTTAAACATCATGGTATTAAAAAGTTACCTTTGGTAATATGATATATTGTTACAGTGAGGGAAAAAAGTATTTGATCCCCTGATGATTTTGTACGTTTGCCCACTGACAAAGAAATTACCAGTCTATAATTTTAATGGTAGGTTTATTTGAACAGTGAGAGACAGAATAACAAAAAAATCCAGAAAAACGCATGTCAAAATGTTATACATTGATTTGCATTTTAATGAGGGAAATAAGTATTTGATCCCTCTGCAAAACATGACTTAGTACTTAGTGGCAAAACCCTTGTTGGCAATCACAGAGGTCAGACGTTTCTTGTAGTTGTCCACCAGGTTTGCACACATCTCAGGAGGGATTTTGTCCCACTCCTCTTTGCAGATCTTCTCCAAGGCATTAAGGTTTCGAGGCTGACGTTTGGTAACTCGAACCTTCAGCTCCATCCACAGATTTTCTATGGGATTAAGGTCTGGAGACTGGCTAGGCCACTCCAGGACCTTAATGTGCTTCTTCTTGAGCCACTCCTTTGTTGCCTTGGCCGTGTGTTTTGGGTCATTGTCATGCTGGAATACCCATCCACGACCCATTTTCAATGCCCTGGCTGAGGGAAGGAGGTTCTCACCCAAGATTTGACGGTACATGGCCCCGTCCATCGTCCCTTTGATGCGGTGAAGTTGTCCTGTCCCTTTATCAGAAAAACACCCCCAAAGCATAATGTTTCCACCTCCATGTTTGATGGTGGGGATGGTGTTCTTGGGGCCATAGGCAGCATTCCTCCCCCTCCAAACACGGCGAGTTGAGTTGATGCCAAAATAGCTCCATTTTGGTCTCATCTGACCACAACACTTTCACCCAGTTGTACTCTGAATCATTCAGATGTTCATTGGAAAACTTCAGACGGGCATGTATATGTGCTTTCTTGAGCAGGAGGACCTTGCGGGCACTGCAGGATTTCAGTCCTTCACGGCGTAGTGTGTTACCAACTGTTTTCTTGGTGACTATGGTCCCAGCTGCCTTGAGATAATTGACAAGATCCTCCCGTGTAGTTCTGGGCTGATTCTTCACCGTTCTCATGATCAGTGCAACTCCATGTGGTGAGATCTTGCATGGAGCCCCAGGCCGAGGGAGATTGACAGTTCTTTTGTTTTTCTTCCATTTGCGAATAATCACACCAACTGTTGTCACCTTCTTACCAAGCTGCTTGGTGATGGTCTTGTAGCCCATTCAAGCCTTGTGTAGGTCTACAATCTTGTCCCTGACATCCTTGGAGAGCTCTTTGGTCTTGGCCATGGTGGAGAGTTTGGAATCTGATTGATTGATTGCTTCTGTGAACAGGTGTCTTTTATACAGGTAACACGCTGAGATTAGGAGTACTCCCTTTAAGAGTGTGCTCCTAATCTCACCTCGTTACCTGTATAAAAGACACCTGGGAGCCAGAAATCTTTCTGATTGAGAGGGGGTCAAATACCTATTTCCCTCATTAAAATGCAAATCAATGTATAACATTTTTGACATGCGTTTTTCTGAATAGTTGTTGTTGTTATTCTGTCTCTCACTGTTCAAATAAACCTACCATTAAAATTATAGACTGATCATTTCTTTGTCAGTGGGCAAACGTACAAAATCAGCAGGGGATCAAATACTTTTTTCCCTCACTGTAAGTGACAATACAGCACATAGTCAGGGGGTAGTGAATACGACTAGTTACATGTTCTTTTAACATCCACTTATCAATACATAAGTGCCATGAGATCTGGGTTAAGCATATAAACTTGATAATGACGTATGGAAGTGTTGTATTGATGTCTTGAACCAAAGGATCATTCAGAAAATATACGTAATACGAATAACGTATATTCTCCACGACAAAAAATGCATGTATTCCAGGGGTATAACCAGAGCCTGCCAACCGCCTTTGTTTTCCCAGTGACTGTCATTGCATGCTGCAGCAGGAATTAATTTTAAGGATGAGTCGACCTAACGAGGGAGAAAAGTCGTTTCACAATAAAAATGGCTACAGACTCACACAACACCTAGGGGCAATTAAGTGTGTCTGTGTTCACACATATCGTGGGATGACCTCCAAAGGGAGGAGTTTGATAGGGGTTATGACATCAAGTGCCAGGATGTCTGCGGAGCCAGAACCAGGAATGACCTCAGGCTGACCCGATGGATGCAAAACGTGTGCAAAGGTGGGAGGAGAATGTCGGGCCGTAATGTATACTAGGTAATTAATCACATGAGCTAGAAATTATATACAAACAGCACACAATCATATTTGTTAGTTCGGCACGGGCAGACTCAGGGACTTGCCCTCGTGACTGGCAACAGAGTTTAGTTCCTACCGAGGCACACTAAGTGTCACGAGAAGGATTATATTACGTTTTTTTGTTTGTTTTTGGGCCGCTTGTAGAGCCAAGGACTGCGCCTGTAGTGTTGCAATAAGTTATGTGGTAGAAGAAAATTGTTAATGAGAGCACCCTAATGGTGAGGTCGTCTTATACAGCTCTTTAATGCCACTGTCGTGCGATGGAATGTTCTGTTAAATACTGTACATTCATTGTAAAGGGCGCAGCCTGAAGTGCAACACATACAGGTTTCCCTCGCTTTGTGGTTATAGATGTGTTCCAAGAAAAAGGGCACACAAACCGAAACCACACAGGGCAGCTTAACTGCCAAACAGTTCATAGCGTACACACATAATGGTCTCCCACGTCCGATCACGAAGCCATATATGAGTGAATTTAAATTGCATATAGCGAATTTTGAGTAGAAATACATTCGTCCAATATCCATGATATTACACAAACCGAACCCGTATAAAGGTTGAAAAACCTGTACTGACTAGCGGCAACCTTAGTCTACACCACATCACTTGTATGTGCATTTATTTACGTACACATAAACACCTCACTTGCATACTTTGGTGTTTAGATTGTGTCCTGTGTTTAAACTTAAGCACGATTTGTTCGCCACAAGTATACGTGGTTAATGCAGACATGAATCCTTGCAAAGGTTGCAGTTTGGTGTTTTAACATCTTAACACCTCTTTCATTGCCAGAAAGGGTAAAACCTTTTCTTATATCTTCTTTGTTCTTTCGGTAAAGTCACATAAAAGGGAAATAATAAAAGTAAAACATAATAAAATAAAATTCTCACGACGTATCGGCCACAACACAAGCAGCCGTCCGCAGGTGAAGAACAGAGCTGTCTGAAAGACAGCGCTCCTATGAACACTGCTAAGCTTGGCAGCGTATATTTTAAGCTGGGTGGGAGGGGCAGAGTGCCTTGACAAAGCTTAAGTATAAGCTGCCAAGCTTAGCGTTGTTCATTACGACGCTGTTTTTCAGACAGCTTTGTTCTTCACCTGAGGACGGCTGTTTGTGTTGTGGCCGAAACGTCGTGATAATTTTATTTTATAATGTTTTATTTTAATTATTTTATTATGTCCCTTCTACGTGATTTTACCGAAAGAACCAAGAAGATGAATCCCTGCAGTCACGAAAGCTTTAAATCGAAACCTATTCTTATTCCCTGAGTTTTTGTTCTATATGTTTCGTTAATGACCACATGTCCGAACACTGTCAAAGAAGGTAGTATGCACTATGATTGGCATATCAGTAGATAAAGCGTTTGATAAATCAAGACTATTAAGGGAGTCGCTAATTTTGTGTTTGGGATATGGATAGTATTATAAACCAACATCAAGGTAAGCGTAAGTGCAAGTGTTCAGGCAAGATTAATGTCTGACATATTTTCAAAACATAATTCTTTTTGTTGTTGCCTAGATTGTAATAACTTATAATTTTTCACTCTTTTGGTGTGTTTGCATGCAGTCCGATATTACATGGCCATGTGTTCAACCTATTTAACTTCGCTATCTCATTAGACATTAACATGTAGTTTAATATGGTATTATTTTTTAAACATAGCCTGTTGACATATCTGATTTACAATAGCCAGCCTATATTAACCACACATAGTCTATACAATGTACGTTCTAACATATATACCGTACATAATTTACCTGTAACTGATTTCAATAGATTTAGCCTATTACTGGCCAATGTACAGCCGACTTGCATCTCTGATAATACTCACGATGTTCAGGTGATAGAAAGCCGGAGAGCGCAAGTCATTCGCTCCGTCTCTTCTGCTCTCTGGATTCACCTAGGCTTTATATTCAGATTCACAAAAAGGTGGAGCTTCCCAGACTCCACCCAGTACTTGATAATAACGAATGTGCGTGTGTGCCTGTGTGTGAGAGACACAACGCGTGTGTGGACGTGAAATAAAGATTGTGAGCGTATGCCCTTCGAGTTGTTGAATATTGCATATGACAAAGGCAGTGAGGATAGCGTATGAATAAGGAGTATTTCGAGCAGTCGAACAATGAGATATAATTTCCAAATTATGCTTAGGCTCTCAATGCACTAAAACTTAAATCACACGCAAACTTGTTATGCATTCATGTGCAACATCATGGGCGAAAGGACAAATAATCAGAACTCCATTCTATATTCACATATAAATATAAAAATAGTTTAGTCCATCGACCGTTGATTTTTCCATGCGAACATCAATCACCAAGCGGCATTTGTAAGCAGTCAAACTACAGACTGGTCTCGATGTGCTAATCATATCCAGCATTTCAGATTTTTTTTTGTCTCACATATATATTTTCGTGAGCTTTTCTTGCTTGGAAAGCATCTCACTGTTTCAGAAGAAAGCAAGACAGCCAACCCCACATTTAGTGCCTCTAAGTGCACCTAGCCTGGCACAGGCGCCGTGGTGACGTCGCCGTCACTTTGTGGCGAATGGCGGATATTGGTATTGGTGTGTGGGGAGCGGTAGTGTAGTGGTGAGCGCACTGTGCTACAAAAGTGGCGATCCGAATTCGATTCTTGCTCACGGCTAACATCAGTGCCGGAAGCCCTGGTGTGTAAACATCGCCACTGGGGATACAAAGGCAGCCGGGCGTGGCGCTAGCCAATCACCCCCACGTGTGCCGTGCCGGCCTTCATAGGCGCTGCTCACTAACAGCACTTGCCCCTATAGCCTGTTAAGGCTACACGGGGGATCATTGTAGTCGTGGTGTGTGTGTCTCTCTGTGGTGACGTCACCGCCACTTAGTGGCGATTGGCGGTTGTTGTTGTTGTCTCTCTGTCTGTGTGGGTGTGTCTCTGTCTGTGTGTGTGTCTCTGTCTGTGTGTGTGTGTCTGTCTGTCTCTCTCTGTCTGTCTGTGTGGGTGTCTGCAATTGTGGTAACTCGTTTCCCCCCTTCTGACTAGTATGACCCAAGGTTCATGAAAAAAAAGTGTTTTTTTCTACTAATGTTACTTTATTTTATATTTTATTTTATTTATTATACAGTATTTTATGTTGTTACATGGAAAAGTACAATACTCCTAATTGTGAGTTTGACTGCTTCTTTTTCTGTTGAACCTTAGCACATTTCTTAACACTCACCATATGGGCATTTAAAAACAGTGGATTTCATGGGACCTCCTTTGCCAGTACCAAAATAGGAGAATACGTTTTCCCCTTTTTTCTGGCAACAAAACAGGTGTTAAGATGTTAAAACACCAAACTGAAACATTTTACAAGGAATCAAGTGTTCATTAATCACAATACTTGTGGTCAGAAAGCGAACAAAAAAAATACTCTGATAGCATATGTATTATCTAACACCGTTTAGAGACTTGACTCGAAAGAAAGCTGTCTCTGTGTAGACCAATCAGTTTCAAAGACAATGCACATATATTATCAGAGTAGGTTTTTTGTTTGCATTCTGACCACAAGTGTAATGCGAGCATAAATGGGGTTGTTGCTGGGCTCTGGCCCAATCATACGGCCCGGGGTATTGGGGGGCGGACCCTGGTCTGCGGGGCGTGTGGGAGGGGCCACCGTTCAGCTCGGCTCCAATGGGAGGCGAGGTGAATGGGGCGGAGCCAGCAGGGCAGTATGGGAAGGCCAGATCTGACGATCCGGAAGGGGAGGAGTCAGGGTCACGTGGGGGGAGAGGATATAAGTGGGAGCCCAGAAGAGATCGGGGTCAAATTTCGATTGAAAGCTTTCGTGACTGCAGGGATTCATCTTAGTGTGAATTATTTTATTATGTTTTATTTTTATTATTTTATTATTTCCATTCTACGTGACTTTACTGAAAGAACCAAGAAGATCGGGGTCAGTTGGGGAAGTTAAGAGGCTGAGCCACGTTGGGTGTCGAGAGGAGATCCGCGCCATCGGCCACGTGGCCGAAGGACCTCAGCACGCCGTCGGCCAGCGGTGTGCGGAGTGCAGGAGTGGAGGAGCTAACGGAGGAGCGTGCACGGCACGCGAGAGGAGACGCTGGTCCCTTATCAGGACCAGCGGGGTGTGAGGAAGAGTGGAGGAGCTGACGAGGGAGCGCGAGCGGGGCGCGCGCGAGACGATGCTGGTCTGCGGAAGAGACCAGCGGGGCGCGGAGAGAGAACCTAAATAAAAGACCAAAGGAGACCAGCAGTGCCTGACGGAGTCTTTTATTACACAAGTATTGTGGTTAATGCAGACATGATTCCTTGTAAAAGGTTTCAGTTTGGAGTTTTAAAATCTTAACACCTGTTTTGTTGCAGGATAAAAGGGGAAAACCTATTCTAATACAGTCGATTATTGTGTTCCGACTCACGAACCGTTCAAGTTATGGACGGGTCTCAGGAATTAATGAGGTTCGTAAACCGAGGACTGCCCTATTCCTTCATGACTGATTAAAGAATACAATTATCTCCTAAACAGCAGCATCCTTGCTTCCACCCCTGATTATCATGGTTGGCTCCATACGGTGCAAAATAATTTCTATGTAAATAAAACAAGTCTGTACCACAGCCTATCAATCAGTATCTGCATATGTAGGCAATTGAGGGTATTTATCTTCATATATTCCTAAACGCCTGATAAAGTAGTAAAGGAATGGATGGATGTGCGTGTGTTGTCTCAGAACTCGTAGTTTGTCCCGAATCACGTTCAAATGTTCATGACATTTGCCATGCTTATAATCTACAATGCCATTGTATTGAAAACTGTTTTGTTAAGATTGCGTAAAAAGATTACACCCTCCAGTCTTGCCTTTACAATACATTCCTCCTTGTAATCACGCGTCAACATGTTCTACCCTGACCGCTGTGAAGCAATCCAGATTTTTTTAAATGTTTGCTTGCATTGTGACTTTCATAGAATCTTAAATATGCCAGTGCCTTCCATCAAATGTCTCTCAGAACGTAGTCTTTGCCTGACAGGTGCATTTTATCATGCACTTTTGTACATAAGTAGGCAGATGTTGCTAATGTTTTAATGTTTTGTTAGCATATGTGATCACCTGCATTTGTACATTTGATTTAATTTTCATCTTTACATTTTCTCGTAAAACCCTTTTGAGATGTGTGTAAGCATCAAACTACTGACTTTGAAAGCTAAAAAAGCGTTCATCTTTACACGTATATCCATTGGGATTTATAATATTGATTTAAAGCTTTCGTGACTGCAGGAATCCATACTTTCTGGTTCTTTTGGTAAAGTCACGTAGATAGATCTCTAGAAGGACCACTTCTGACTTCAACGTAATAAACGACTTCCACGACGACTGTTGACTGGCGTCTCTCTGGGTAATTCCCCTCTCTCTCTCTGCTGTTGACGAGCCGTTCTCTTGCCCACTGTTGGGGCACGCCTCACTTTCTACCCGATCCGCCGCTGCCTGGCGGCGTGCTGGGAGGAGTGGCTGCTCGCTGGGGATTCGCCACGTGGTCGTTGGCGAGGAGAGGTTGAGCGGTGATGCAGTCCAGACCCGAGGCTTCCCACACCGATGACGAGTCTTCTCCTGCCTCCACTTATATTCTTTTTGGCAGAGCACAGCTCCGACTCCAGCCACGCCCCCTCGTGGAACCCTCTAGATCAGGCATGTTCAAAGTCCGGCTCGCGGGCCAATCACGGCCTGCGGTCAGATTTCATATGGCCTGCAGCTTCGGTCTTATAATGTGTTATTTATGGCTCGCTAGCTCTGTCAGAATAAATAAATCATAAAATTTTAAAGATGTAATTCCTCCTTTCACCACTCGGTGGCAGCACCATTATAATGCTCTCTGGCTCGGCATCTGTGCCGCGAACCCTTCTCGAATAATTTCTGCGATGGCGACTGCAAAAAAAAGAAAAGTTGACGGTGAGGGCCGCCGCTTTCAGGAGCGGTGGAAATTACAATACTTCTTCACTGAAAATCGAGGCAATTGTGTTTGTCTAATTTGTAAAGAGACGGCTGCCATGTTTAAGGATTTCAATGTAAAGAGATACTACGAGACTAAACATGCTACAACATACGACAAGCTAACAGGGAGTGACCGCGCTAAAAAAGTGAAGCAACTCCAAGCTGCTCTGGCATCGCAACAGCGATTCTTCACGCGGGCCTGTGAGTCAAGGGAAAACATCACCAAAGCCAGCTAGGAAGTGGCCATGTTAATAGCTAAACAGAGCAAAATTTTACTGAAGGTGCGTTTATCAAAGATTGTGTATTTGATGACAACATGAACTTGACAGAGGAGCTGCCTGACCTCAAAAGCCTTAAAAGGCAAACCAGAGGAACATATTTATTCGCTTCTGTTTGTGAAGCTGTTGATGATATGAAACTACCATGGAGTAAAGTTTCTGGGATCATTACCGATAGTGCGCCTGCCATGGCTGGTGAGCGAAGTGGATTGTCCACACTGATCTGCAATAAAGTCAGCGAAGAAGCAGGCAACGCTATTAAACTTCACTGTATCATTCACCAGCAGGCTCTCTGCGCCAAACATCTCAAATTTGACGATGTTATGAAACCAGTGGCAAAGGCAATCAATTATATTCGTTCTAAAGCTCTATACCACCGACAGTTTCAGCAGTTATTGCGTGACATCCAGGCTGAATACGGTGACGTAATATATCACAACGATGTGAGGTGGCTAAGTCGGGGGTCCGCACTGCAGCGATTTTTCTCTCTCAAAGAGGAAATTGGAGATTTTTTGGGTGAGAAGGGACAACCAATGGAGGAACTGTCTGATCCTGTATGGCTGGCAAATCTAGCTTTTTTGGTTGCCATAACGAAGCATCTGAATGCACTTGAATGTTATCTTCAAGGAAAAGA